CAATTATTTTAAAGATTCCACGAGATTCCGTGTTTTGCCATGAATTCACCAATGAACATCCAATTCCACAATTCCATCCACATTTTCCACATCACCTTAGACATAGGTGAAGATCCTCTGATATCTGCTGTCTGTGGAATGTGTGGAGTTAATATAACGTGGCATGGTCTTTATTTTTCATTAGTACTAAACTTTTATGAGCCCAAGTCTTTACTGTTAGCTGGAAACCAAGAGTTTTTTTGGAAAAAATGTGTAGAATTATTATTTTTTTTCTTTTCATTTTACCACCAGGGTCCTTTATGGTGGTGAATTCCTCGCAGCATATGGTGGCCCAGCGAGCACAGCTGCACCTGCTTCCCCTCAGTGAGAACGACACCCACTGCATCCAGTTCAGCTATTTCCTGTACAGCCGTGACGGCCACAGTCCCGGGGCCCTCCAGGTTTACATTCGGGTTAACGGGGGCCCTAAAGGCAGTGCTGTGTGGAACATCTCTGGCTCCCAGGGGCACCAGTGGCACCAGGTGGAACTCGCAGTCAGCACTTTCTGGCCAAGTGAATACCAGGTTAGTTAAGGTTTATTTCAGGTGGTACTTGTAATGAAATGCTTCAAAACCACTGGAGTACCAATTTATTGTTGAAGTCGCAAGTACGTCTACATATTTCGGTGTCAATACACTATTATTTCTGAGCCAAAAATGGTCTAACTCCACATTTCAGTTCAACATAACTCAATTCCTGCATCAGTTCTGTCCATTTATATCGTGTCTCACAGCAAATTTCCAGATCTTTAAAATAATGAATGTGATTCAGTCTTTATACTATCATCTTATTTTCTAGTACAACACCCAATATATCCCTCCTTTTTCTGCCAGTATATTTATGTAGCACTCTGCCAGGAAAACCTGCTGGTAATTATGATTTTCTCAACTGAATCCAAGCAAACAGCTCGGATTCCAAATCACAGCGACCACACATTGTCCAGAGACAAAAATGCATCAGTGTGATTGTGAGTGTAAAATATTCCACTATTTTTTTGTTACCATTTTTTTTACAGATATTTAAGTATATGTTTGGAAAACTGTTTAAGTGAAAACCATTTGTTTTGTAATTTATATACAGTATACGCTACCTTACAAACAAACAAACAAATAATTAAATAAATAAATAATACATAAAAAATTAAACTAAATAATAATAATAAGTAAATAAATAGTCCTTCTTGAACTGTCACCTTATTGTGGTGGAGGAGTTTGTGCACCTGAATGATCCTAGGAGCTATGTTGTCTGGGGCAATTGTAATTTCCCCTGGTAGGGTCACCCAAGGCAGAATGGTTCTAGGTGATAGGCCAGACAAAGACCAATTCAGAAGATTTTATTGACAAAAGAAAACAAGGAACTCTGTGTCCCTTGTCCAGACATGGGTTACCGGGGAACTCAGACACTCGGATGAAAGAGAGGAGCTGAGCTGTCAACTGATCACCACCTGGTAGTGAGGTAGATCAGATGGCGGGGGAAGATGCCAGATAGACCTGGTAGACCCAAACGTGTGGTGAGGGTTTGCTGGGAACATCTGACAGAAGAACCTGTCAGAGGGATCTCCAATTCACACCTCCAGGAGAGCTTTAACTGCATCACAGCTGAGAGAGGGGACATTGAGTCTGAGTGGGCCATGTTCCATGCCTCAAATGTTGAAGTGCCTGCCTTGAGCTGTGGTTGCAAGGTTGTTGGTGCTTCTCACGATGGCCATCCTCATCCTCGGTGGTGGATACTTCAGGTTAGGGAGGCTGTCAAGCTGAAGGAGTCCTATAGGTTCTTGTTGGCTGGTGGAACTCAGGAGGCAGCTGAGGAGTACCAAAGGGCCAAGCGGTCCACAGCCTTGACTGTTGCTGAGGCAAAAGCTCATATGTGGGAGGAGTTAGGTGACTCCTTGAATGAAGACTCTCGGTCAGCTTCAAGGAAATTCTGGCAAACCATCTGGCTGCTGAGAAGGGGAAAGCAGCTCTTTACTAACACTGTGTTCAGTGAAGGTGGGGTACTGTTGATCTCAACTAGTGATGTCTTTAGGAGGTGGAAGGAATGCATCTCGGGCCTTCTTAATCCCACTGGCACATCTTCCATGGAGGAATTGGGGTCAGGTGACTTCGGGGTTGGTCTATCATAACCGTGGCTGAGGTCGCCAAGGTATTGAAAACTTTCCACAGTGGCAGGTTTCCGGGGCTGGATGAGATTCACCAATTTCCTTAAGGCTCTGGATGTTGTGGGACTGTCTTGGTTGACACACCTTTGCAACATTGCATGGACATCAGGAGCAGTGCCATTGGATTGGCAGACTGAGGTGGTGGTTCCCCTCTTCAAATATGGGACCGGAGGGGGTGCTCCAATTATAGGGGCATCAATCTCCTTAATCTCCCTGGTAAGGTCCATTCAGGGCTACCAAAGAAGTGAGTCCATTCATTGGTCAAACCTCAGGTCCAGGAGGAAGTATGCAGATTCCGTCCTGGCTATGGGACACTGGACCAGCTCTTTACCCTCACTAGGGTCCTCAAGGGGTCATGGGAGTTTGCCCATCCAGTCTACATGTGTTTTGTGGGCTTGGAGAAGGCATTCGACTGTGTTACTTGGGGTACACTGTCAGGGGTGCTCCGTGAGTATGGGGTTGGGGGTCCGTTGTTACGGGCTGTTCGGTCCCTATATAAATGATGCGAGAGTTTGGTTTGCATTGCCGGTAGTAAGTCAGTCCCCTTCAGGGTGAGAATTGGACTCTGCCACAGTTGCCCATTGTCACAGTTTCTGTTCATAACTTTTATGGACAGGATTTCTCAGTGCAGCCAGGGGGCAGAGGGAGTCTGATTCATTGACCTTAGGATTCCATCTCTGCTCTTTGCAAATGATGCAGTCCTGTTGGCGTCATTGTACCATGATCTTCAGCTCTCACTGAAACGGTTTGCAGCTGAGTGTGAAGCGGCTAGGATGAGAATCAGCTCCTCCAAATCTGGGGGCATAGTCTTTGATTGGAAAAGGGTGGATTGCTCTCTTCAGGTTGAGGGTGAGGTTCTGCTTCAAGTGGAGGAGTTCAAGTATCTTGGGGTTTTGTTCACGAGTGAGGGAAGAATAGAGTGTAATATTGACAGATGGATTGGTGCAATGTCTGCAGTATTGTGGACTCTGTACCAGTCCATTGTGGTGAAGAGGGAGCTAAGCTGTAATGCAAAGCTCTCTGTTTACCAGTCAGTCTACGTTCCTACCTTCACCTATGGTCACAAGCTCTGGATAGTGACCAAAAAAATGAGATCGTGGATACAAGCGGTTTAAATAAAATTTCTCCCCAGGGTAGCTGGACTCTCCCTTAGAGATATGGTGAGAAGTTCAGTTATCCGAGAGAGACTTGGAGTATATCTGCTGTTCCTCCACATCGAGAGGAACCAGTTGATATGGTTCAGGCATCTGGTATGGATGCCTCCTGGGCACCTCCCTAGGGAGGTGCTTTGGGCATGTCTGACTGGGAGAGAACCCCGGGTTTGACCCAGGACACGCTGGAGAGACCATGTCTCTCAGTTGGCCAGGGAACACCTTGGAATCTTTCCAGAAGACCTGGAAGAGGTGGCTGTGGATATAGATGTCTAGGCTTCCCTGCTCAACCTGTTGCCCCCATGAACTGACTTTGAAACACAGCAGAAGATAATAGATGGATGGATGGATGGATGGATGGATGGATGGATGGAATAAATATATAAATAAATAAATACACAGGAGTGAATGGGTCCCATTTGGTCCACATACCGATCTGTGATGCCTATCTGTGATGATTTGTACTTGGGGCTATTTGTAATGGGACAGCTGTGGCTGTGTGGTTAGAGCAGCCTTCCTCCAATTGATTAGTTAGAGGTTTCATTCCACCAGCAATCACATGTTCAAGTGTCCCTGGGCAAGACAGTGAAACCCTCATTGCCTTCAATGTGTGTCCCATCAGTGTATGCATGTGATATAGCACTGATTAGTCTTTGTACAGAAATAATAGAGTGATGTATGGATGTGTGAATGAGGGCACAGGTTTTGTTGTAAAGACCTTTGAATATCTTGATAAGACAGAAAAGCGCTTTGTAAATACAATACATTTACCATTTTACTTGTATTTTGATATCTGTGGACCTGCTTTGTTTTGAACAGCCCCTGGAGGGCCTAGTTTGTGGCATCACAAGTGGAGCAGTAGTGTTACTAGGAAGATGCTAGAACATCCAAAAGTCAAAGCAGTGAGTGAAGGTCAGCAGACCCATAAGATACCACAGACAGCATTACTAACACTTGGTGTAGCGGTGACAGGGGTCAAATTGTTGGTTTGAATGAAAGTGGTGGTCAGTCAATTTCTCAGTATGTGGGTCACCCAGTTGTCACAGTGGACAAATGTTGAAACAATAAATGGAGTACCCACACACATTGTGAAGTGTTCAGGTTGTCCAAAACAGACCAAACTAATTGAGGATCCATGTATTCCTTGTACTGTACACCAAGCTTTGTAGGACCTTGTGACATTATGGACTCACATCTGGCCACGAGCACTGGACTCTTTCCATCTGCCTCATCCTACAACATGTCTTCATGACCTGAATTATAAGGACCATGGGTTAAATTCAGTTCAGTTTATTTATACAGCACCAATTCAGAACAGTCATCTCAGGGTACTGTATAACAAAAAAAAAGGTCCTTTCATGTCAGATTAAAATCCAGTCTACAGTTTTTTATTGAAATGCCATTTGAAAAAGTTCTGTCCAAATAAGCAAATAGATTGCATCAAATCTTTTCTTATGGACAGTTTAGCCTTAAATTCCTGGACCACCACAACTTACTTTTTTATGTGGAGGAGGAGCAGCAGCTCTGCTCTAAACTCCCCATCGAATGACAGAACTCTTCATCTTATCTATAAGGCTGAGTCCAGCCACCCAATGAGTCAAGTTCATTTTAGCCACTTGCACCTGGGATCGTTTTCTACAAATCATGATCCATACCTCATGGCAATAGGTAAGGGTTAGAACATCGATAGACCAGTAAATCGAGCGTTGGTTTTCAACTCAACTCTTTCTTTACCACACCAGCCCAAAAATCCCAATCAAAACCCTCATTATTGCAAACAAGGTTCAATGCTCCACTCCACCTTACCATTACCTACAAACAAGTCAACTTGGATTCCTCTACTTGACACAGTTACTCAATCCAAACCCATAGGGGATTTGCTTCCTCTGGATTATTTTGGGTGAGTATTTCTGGTTGAAAAATGAGATAGGTGAAAGGATAAAAAAAAACAGCCAGTCAAAGCAGATGGACGCTTGTCCTGAACCTGGTTCTGCTGGAGGTTTCTTCCTTTTAAAAAGGGAGGTTTTCCTTTCCACTGTTGCCACTGTGCTTGCTCAGGATGGGAGACTGCAACAAAGCCAAGATTCAACTTGTCTGCTGGATTCCTTAGATAGAGAACTTTACTAATTGGCTTTTATGTATGTGAATGTTTCTGTAAAGTGCCCTGAAACAACTTTGTTGTGATTTGGCGCTATATAAATAAACTGAATTGAAT